ACTGTACCTATTTATTTGAAATTTAGTTCAACATTGATTTGCAACCCGGGAAAGAAGATAGAATAGTTTTAACATCGCATGCTGGCTAGCTGAGCGCGGTGAGCGGCAACCACGCGACTTTTTTCTAATACTTGCATTTTTAAACTCGTGATATCTTCTCGAATGAAATGTCCGAATTGAATAAAAAGGTATTGAAGCCGTCTTCTTGAATATAAGGTAATTTATTTTGATAAGGATTAATACCAAGGTACAAATAAAGAGCCTTTTCAAGCGGCGGCATATAAATTAAATTTTTAGAATAAAAAACCGCTTACTGTGACATAACTATAATATTTAGACATGCTGTCGCGACACTTTTTGTAGATAATGATGAGTTCTGCAAAGTCCGTAGTAAATCATTTTGTTCTATCATCAATAGTTTTCGCAGCGCACGCGACGTAAGGAATTTTTCAGGTCATTTTTTTACACCTTGGGTTACATTATTGGAATTTTAGGAAAGATCCCTAATTATTTATAAAATATAATATAGCCTATGTTACTCGGGGATAATGTAGCTTTCCAGAGGTGAAAGAATTTTTGAAATCGGTCCAGTAGTTTCGGAGCCTATTCATTACAAACAAACAAACAAACAAATCTTTCCTGTTTATAATATTAGTATAGATATAGACTAACTGATATAACATAGGATAAAATCATAATATCTAAAACCAGTCAATGATATGCATTTAGACATTTTTCGTTTGACTGTACCTATTTTGGCTTGAACAATAGATTTTCTAAAGTTATCTTTGAGTGGTCCCAATCGCCGGAAGAAAAATATTTAATTTTTATGTACCCGGCGACTGGGACCGCGGTCCCAATAATTGTGGTCCCACTTCCCGGATGCCTCGTTAAATTATGTACACAATGGCAACAAGCCTTATGCGGCATATGCCATACAATGAATACAATAGGGTAGTTTCCAGGGAATGAAAATTAAAAATCTTATTAGCCCGTCAGTTAGATAATGAAAATTAGACACGTATTTTTTTATTTTATCGTATAAAGTTACAATATTTAGATAAAATGGAGTTAAGTTTAGGAGTGGGATGTCGTTACGTCACTAAGTGCTACAAAATATAGCGCATTGTGACGTCACACGATATTCGAGATTATTACATCGTTGAAAGTATTTAATTTTGTGAGAAAAGAAAAAATACGTGTCTAATGTTTTAAACTAATCTACCAGACAGAGATTAAAATAAAATTTAGGCATCTACCTTATTACAAAGATTTCCATTTTATTAATGACACGGACATCTGAAAGCCTTAAGATATTTAACTTATAGCAGTCTTTAATGGCGTACGAAAATGAACGAATGAAATCAGTTTACGATACAATTCCCAAACAGCTTTAATAACTTAATTTACTAAAAATCGCGGATTACTCACGTGAATATACTGAGAAAAGCTCTACTAGTTTCGAATCACAGAGGGGTTCTTCCTCATGAGCAGCATGCGCGGTCGTGGCGATGTCGCGCAGCCTACTTTTATTTTTAGTTAATTTAGTATGTCTCACGATAATTATTATAAAACATAGCTTTATTAACATCATAGCATGAAATACCAGAGCGGTTTACTTTAGGTCGTCAATTGAATCGCAATAATAGTTCATGGTAGGCCTTCCACTCAGCACGAACTTGTGACTCTTACAATAGTAGTAACTATTCAACCCGACGATGCAATAAATCAGATGTTTCCTAGAAATATACATATAACCTATGTAAACAGTGAAAGCATTGATGTAAAGGAAAGTGCATTTTGTGACGATATCATCCTTACTAATATTATAAATCGGAAGGTGAGTTTGTTTGTTTGTTTGTTCCATTTTAAAGCCGTAACTACTAAACCGATTGCTTTGAATTTTTGCAGACGTGAAGTTAAATTTCTGGATTAAATAATAGGGTACTTCTTATCTCGGAAAAAATTGATATTCTCGAGGGAAAACGAAATTATTGGTATAGATGGCGCTGTGTGTATTGGTTCATGTGACATAGGCTATTTTTTATCCTTTTGTGACACGAGGGAAGCCGCGGGTAAAAGCTAGTTACTGATGCTAAGAGAAACCTGTCCGTGTAACATCGAGACTCCGGACTATCATTTAATGATGATACTATACAAACATAATTATTTAGTTTTCTTGACCCTAAATTGAAAAAATTGCTTGTATTAATTGTAAATTTTTTGTGACTTTACTTTTATATCTTCTCTCTTCTATATTAATAATTTCGTCAAGGGGTACGGTAGACTCGATCAAAACATTACCTGAATAACAAAACATAAAAAATATTGATTTCGAGTCGACAACTTATATCCGCAAAATTCGGATTACCGAGATTATTTCGTTTAATTAATTCATTTAAATGACACTGACAGACAAATCGCAGTCGCCATCTTGAGTAGACAATAAATGTTCCGTTGCATACTATTATAGCTCTTAAGTCTTAAATACGCCTCGCCAATCAACACGTTGTCACGTCAAAAAAGTATAAATTAAGAAGAAATTTGAATAATTTCACGCGAACGAAGTCGCGGGTAACAGCTAGTAGGTACTATAATAACTATTATGAGACATATACTAAATTAACTAAAAATCGTGAGTTACTCGCGTGAATATACTGAGAAAATCTGTACTAGCTGTTCATGAGGAAGAAAAAAAAAGAAAAAAAAACCCTCTGTGGTTCAAAACTATCTCAGTATAATCACGTGAGTAGCCCGTGATTTTTAGTTAACTTTTGTTACCTTTAGGAACAACAATTTGATTCTCACTAAAACCACTCAGAGGTCACTATCACGACTTGTACAGAGGTACCTATTTGCTGAATTGCTAAGTTCTCGAGGCCCCCACTAGGACACCCTCGTAACACAGTACTTTTCTAAGAAGATTTAGCCTTTTTGACAAAAGGCGTAAATCTGGCAGTAGACGATGGCACATGACCTGTGTGCCACCAATTTCTCTGACTAATTGAGTTTTAAGTGCTTGAAGCCCAAGTACGAAGCCTGAAGCTTTGCTTTTAATTTTCGGATTAGATAAAGTATTATTGTTTTTTAATGAACATGTCTACAACATCACAATTCTTTTTGGTAAAACGTTTTACAAATTGTTACATATCATAATATGAATTAACTAGCGGCCCGTCCCGGCTTCGCACGGGGGGACTTAAGATTTTTTACATAGTTTTACGTTTTATTTATATTTATTCTCAGTTTTTTTTAGCGACCTGCCCTCCGTTGTCGATGTCGCGTCTTAAAGTAACCGATTGAACAATTCAAAAGTTATCTAGAGCAAACTTTTATAAGGATTGAACTGAAGGTAAACTATAAAAGGTGGACATATGCTCTCGCGGACTTTTTTAAAAATAATGTTAAGATAAACAATTCATCTATAGAACATTTTTGTATAACTTTAACTATATGCTCAGCGCACGCCACGGAAGGCCTCAGAAACGATACTTTTCCCCCGTTTTTAAAACATTTTTGGTTACTGCTCCACAACTATAGGACCTAGCGTGATATTATATAGCCTATGTTACTTCTGAATAATGCAGCTTTCGAATGGTGAAAAAATTATTGCAATCGGTTCAGTAGTTTTTGAGTTTATTCATTACAAACATACAAAAATACAAAAATACAAATCTTTCCTCTTTATAATATTAGTATAGATTAACACTTCTAACGTAACGTGTCTGACAACACGTTATTTAATAAATTGATGAATTACAACTCTATTACAACTCTATTATGCGGATTATTTTCAATCACTTTCGTTTCCATTAACACGTTGAACGCCATGGGGGTCACCGGTGACCGGCGTTAGCGGAGGATTTGCCTTCAACAGTTTTTTATTGGCAGTCAAAGTCTAAATTTAGTTATTTATAATTCTCGTAAGCATGACATGTCTCGTCAATCCTTTTTAAGAATGGATTAAAAGTATTTAAAACCTCTAAACTCTAGGTGAGTTTCTCAGCTCAAAAACTAGTTAACTTTATACTTCCTTATAATAATTTAATCAGTTTTTATGAATAATAATATAATTCTTAATTAAAAGTTACATTGAAATCACTGACGACCTTTCAGCTCCGCTATTGTTAAGTTACAAAAAACGCTACCACGAATACATACAGACGAATTCTTCAATATAGAATTTGTGATGTAACCTGACGTAACAAAAGTAACTTATTTCATTTTAGTGAAGCACGATAAACGAACCGAACCATCCATCTTGTCTAAAACTTCCATTTAGTCGGAGTAATTGTCACAAAAAAAGGAGTACAACATTTTAAGTTTACTTTAATGTATACACTCCTTTTTTAAAAGGCCGGCAACGCACCTGTGACTCTTCTGGTGTTGCGGGTGTCCATGGGCGGCGCTGATCGCTTACCATCAGGTGATCCGTCTGCTCGTTTGCCTCCAATTCCATAAAAAAAAAAAAAAAAACACACACACACATCGATCTATACAAAACCAGTTTATCCTGGTGTCGCGTCGCATCATCTTTCCGCTCATTTAACGTTCAGTTTATACTGGTTATGTAAAGCTCGATATGTAGCCGTGTGTACCTACTGTAATATTATAAAATAGATAACTACAGATAATCTATATCTATACATATAATAAAACTGTAGAGAGGTCAATTCTGTACATGAAATATATTTCCAAAATAAGTATGAGGGGGTAATTAGGGATCGATACCAAAAATGCAATCAGTAAAATTTTAGTCTGTCTGTCAGAAGTTAGTACCTACATGATACAAAAAAAAACAATTTTGTGGCCTTAAGATAACATTTGTATTATTATTACTTTGTTTATGGTGTAAATATTTTAGTTTTTAGTTATTTATAATTTAAGTTGTATATATTTATTTAACTTCGATTATTAACAATAAATATGTAGGTTAAAAAACAATACAGATATAATTTATCTTGAACATGCACTTACTTTATTCATATCTTTGTTTTTAGGTGTCAATAGTATTCCATTTTGCGGCCAGCCTGCGTCTAGAAGCGCCACTAAAGGAGGGTTTAGAGATGAACACAAACGGCACCCTGCGAGTCCTGGAAATGGCTAGAAAGATGAAAAGCCTCGTCGCTTTCATACACTTATCTACTGCCTTCTGTTATCCAGATTATGAGAGAATGGCTGAAAAGGTAAAACTATACTAAGATTAGAATACTACACTAGGATTTTCTCCTGTATCTTTGAAATAATATCGATAACTTGACCATGTATTTGAAAATGCACACACGACATATCCTATTGAAGGGCCAATATTTGCATTATTTTTCCAGGTGTTCGATCCCCCAGCGGATCCGCACGAGGTGCTCCGCGCAGCAAGCTGGCTGACGGAGGAACAGCTGAACCTTCTAGCACCTTCCATCTACCAGAAGCATCCGAATTCCTATACGTACTCCAAGAGATTGGCTGAAGCTCTGGTCCGAGAGAGCTACCCGAGTTTGCCTACTGTTGTTGTTCGCCCTAGCATAGGTATGTAAGTGTATGTATGACCCTAAGAACTACCTGCAAACGTAGTACCATAAATACATTCTAGCTATTATTAATTATATACAATTTTTTTGATAAAAATACTTTATGTGTAATGCGCTTGAGATTTCCTTTATGTTTTGTAATTTATCTGTGTAGTAGCAACATATTGTTCAATTTTTTTTTCTTTAATAAGGCCCTACTTAATTACTATCCTACTATAACTACTGACAACTATCGTCACCATTAACTTAACCCTAATTTCTTAATCACTTTTCCAGTAACTCCATCATACAAGGAGCCTATTCCAGGCTGGGTGGACAACCTGAATGGACCTATTGGCCTCATGGTGGGCGCTGGTAAAGGCGTTATCAGGTCCATGCATTGCTATGGACACTACCATGCGGAGGTCATTCCCGTTGACATAGCTATCAACAGCATCATTGTCATCGCCTACAAGACTGGCAAGGATACCCAAAGGTATGACTTTAATTACCATAAGTGTTTGATGATTTGAACTGATTATTTTCAACTTTTACGTTTTAGTTAGTCTGTTTATTTAATTATGTTCAGCTTGCCTAGATAACTTAGCTCCTATATTCGAAATCTGGACATCGATATCACTATACTTTAGATACTTAAACTTCCTCGCCAATTCGTCAAATATCTATGTATTAAACACCAACCTTATCTAGCTTACCTTTATTATTAACTTATTTGCGTACAAGGTTCATAAAGTGTAGTACTTATAAAGAAAAGTGTCGTAACAGTCCACTAAGGGTAGTCAGTCACAGAGAGCGAACCGGAGCATCTTCAGATCCAGAAAACAGTCCTTTTAAACTACTATCTACGGCAAATCTTTTATTTGTAGAGACGTTTCTTGTTTTTCATGGTCCAGTAGTTAGATTCATACAGGCAGTACATGATGATGACATCTCTGACTCTTACAGGTACCCAGAAATTCCAGTATACAACCTAACGACTGGAGACGACCGCAACACAACGTGGAAGCAAGTCCTAGACATTGGCAAGGCAACAGTTCGCAAATTCCCATTCGAAGGTCCTCTCTGGTACCCCGACGGGAACATTAGACACAACAAGTTTATACATGACCTGTGTGTCTTCTTCTATCACATTATACCTGCCTACTTCATTGACTTCCTCATGTTTTTGTTCAGACAGAAGCGATTGTGAGTATTTTATTAAGAGTTTTTTTGTTATGCTGTGCTGCACTTGTCTACCTTTAATATTATTGCCATTGAAGAAACAGGAAGGAGTATACTGTCAATATTATGTCCACAAGTCCGTCAGTGATGTAAGCTTCTATTTACGGGACCAGAAGGTTACGAATCCTTGAAAGGCGTACGAGGGTCCGAAACCTGCAGAAACCCTTTGAACAATTTTAATTTAAGCGAAAAGGGGCATCACTTATTTTATTACTTTAAAGGGAAAATACGTTTTTTGTTGAACATCAAATGTACTGATAGATTTTATGATGAGAAGACTTTTACTGAGATCAGAAGTAACAACGTCTTAACATTAAAATGTACCTATCTCTTTCCAGCATGGTCCGAATTCAGAATAGGATCTCCATCGGTTTGGAAGTTCTCCAATATTTCACGACTCGAGAATGGTGGTTCGATACAAATAACTTCAAGTCTTTGGTTAATATACTGAACCCTGTTGATAAGGAGACGTTCCCAATGGATACGACCATTATAGAGGATGAACCCTACATAGAGAGCTGCATGATTGGAGGCAAGCTGTACTGCTTGAAGGAAAAACTGGAGAACTTGCCAAAAGCCAGATTGCAGAACCAAATGTAAGTATACGTGTTATTGCATGATGCTCATCATCATCATCTTCAACAGCTTGAGTAAAGAGACTAGTACAAGAAATTATCATTATGCTATCCTCGTAAATTAATATAAGTGACCACTTACCCAACCAATCAGCGATTAATGTTACGGGGATGTTTTACAAAGGGGCACATGAAAATTTATCGTATTTCATGTAGAAAACATTTTTTTATGGGGTAAGCCGCTAAACGAGCAAAACAGACGCATCACCTGATGGTAAGCAATCGGCGTCGCCCATGAACACCTGGAACATCAGAGGCGTTGCAAGTGCGTTACCGGTCTCTTGGGATTAGAAATTTGAGGATTATTGGGGATTCATGGATTGGGGAGGGGAGGGTGGTGTGTTAATTAGGCCTCCTGTAACCTCACTCACACGACGAAACACAACGCAGGCGTTGTCGGTCTTCTGTGAGGCCGTGGCCGCCTATTCGTGCCGAAGCATGGCTCTCCCACACTTATTAAAGCAACTCGAGTGAGTTGTATTCGTGCTGTGGGATGTTTATTACTGAATTAATCAGAATCAATTCAGTGCCCAAGTAAGATTTACCTATTTTGAAATTATTCATCGTAGTTTCAATAAATAAATAATCCCGCAGGGATCTTACCAGTACAGTGCCCGATCACGTAAGGTTTGAGTTATAATAACTATTCTATCGACTATTGTTGTACCGAATCTCTCTAAAATAAGTTCAGTGGTTAAGAGTTAGAGAGTCCTGGGGCATTGACGCATAGTTCCCGTTCTCGTGAGACATCTGTGAAAAAACTATCATACGTTACCCAGGTCCCAAATCATCGTTTTACCGAATGTAATTCAAAAAGATTCAATGATTCTAAATTCAACGGCTAAGAAGATTTATACAAACTCTCATTCCCTATTTTATCCCCTTAGGGGTGGAATTTATCAAAATCCTTTCTAAAGAGATACCTATGTCATAGTAACTTTATGTAAGGTCGGTGTAAGAATGACAAAGCTTCATACAAACGTTCATCCCCTACATTACCCCATTGGAGGTGGAAATAATCAAAATCCTTACTTGGGGATGCCTACGTCATAACATCTACCTGCATGCCGAATTTCATCTGCATCGGTGTAAAACTGACAAAGCTTCATATAAACTTTCACCCCCTATTTTACCCCCTTAGGGTTGGAAATGATCAAAATCCTTTATTAGCGGATGCTTACATCATAACATCTATCTGCATGTCAAATTTCAATCCGATCGATTTAAAACTGACAAAGTCTCATACAAACTTTCATCCCCTATTTTACCCCCTTGGGGGTGGAAATTATCAAAATCCTTTCACAATGGATGCTTACGTCATAACATCTATCTGCATGCCAAATTTCAACCCGATCGGTTAAAAACTGACAAAGTTTCATACAAACTTTCATCCCCTTTTTTACCCCCTTGGGGGTGAAAATTATCAAAATCCTTTCTTAGCGGATGCCTACGTCATAACATCTATCTGTATGCCAAATTTTAGCCCAATCTGTCCAGCAGTTTGGGCTGTGCGTTGATAGATCACTATGTCAGTCAGTCAGTCAGTCAATCACCCTTGAATTATATATATATAGATAGATAACCAAACCTACCATTCTGGTAACAACTTACCCGTATTAATCCCTTCACCCTGAAACTAGAGCGAGAAATTCAGTCATTCAATCAAATGGCTAGTCATTCAGACCGTTAATTATAGGTCTATTTAAATTGTTTGGCTGTGACGTATAAATGATATAACTGCTATCTTTCCAGACTGTACATCATGGATCGCTTGGTATCCTTATTCTTCTACCTCGTGCTGCTGTACTGGATCGTATCTTACTTCGAACCAGCTCGGGAACTGCTCTCGTACGGCGGCCCGGCCGTTCGGTACCTACCATTAGTTGGCAAAGCAGTATTCAAAGATGTGTAATAGACCCAATAAACTAAAATAATGAAAATTTCATATGATTTTAAACTTTATTTAAAAAAAAAATGAGTGCTACTTGATGACATTATTTAAGTTAATCTGATAATTTCATAATAATTTTTGTATGAATTGCTCAATACATATAAAATAATCGTTTTGTCATATAGAAAAAACATTGAATTTGACTAAGTGTCATCCCTATTTAAAACCGCTGTAGGTAACTTTTAATATACTTACGGAGGTTCAAGTGGTAAGGGATTTGTTAAAAAAATTTTTGAAACAAATTATTTTGGATAAGACAAATACCTAATCCATTCATCAAAAGTATAAGCTTTATAAAAAAAAAAACAAATAAGAATCAATTTTTTATTGGGAGTTGGTGATCAAGATATTTTTATCGAAATCGAAAATAGTATTTTAACATTTGATAATGCAAGACCTCTTGCGACCTAGGCACCTACCTAGGTGTTTGAATAGTTAGTATGCATTATTAAACTGTCAAACACCAAGCGGTCGCCGGTGACCGCAATCTATTGTTCTTTAATTGTGTCTATAAATACGGTATTCGACGAGTTAAAATTTTTGTATTAGGGTATTGAAAAAGATATTGTATAGACTGAACTGGATTCGTCTTATTTTGTAAGTGTTTACGTCTAATTTTGAGAAGTATGGTTATAAATATACGGTTGACAATAGAATGTAAGAGGATTCGGTCCACGACAAATAAAAATAAAATAAAACAATACATACTGTTATAGTGATATTTTTGTAAATTATATTATACATTTTTATAATACTCGTACCAAATATAATGTTTTAACAATTATAAATTAGTTTTATTACTACTACAAACTATGAAAGGCACAATTAAAATTTTGTAATAAAATATCTACGACTGAGTATTTTCCATGAATTCCTTTTTTACTTAAACTTAAGTAAAAGTACGTCAAGAAGTTAAGTCCATTTACTTAGGTATAAAATTTTATATTCAATGAGTATTTTCATGAAAGTCCTCGCTAGATGGCGTTGGTGAGACATAAATGCCTGATAATCTTATGACTGCAGTAAGACCAATAAGTAACGCTTTGGCAGTGGCAACTAGACTTTAGAAACATATTTAGTCATACATATCTACTTGTAAATTACTACAAATAAAAAAACTCACTAAAATAAACAACACATAGTCGTAGTTAGCTTACTTAGTACAGTCGGCACATCAACATACTTCAAATTAACTAAAAATCGCGGGTTACTCGATAAGAAAAGCTCTACTAGTTTCTTCGATGCGAGCGACAACGCTAGCCAGTAGGCTGCGCAACATCGCCACGACCGCGCACGCTGCTCATGAGGAAGAACCCCTCTGTGGTTCGAAACTAGTAGAGCTTTTCTCAGTATATTCACGTAAGTAGGTAACCCGCGATTTTTAGTTAATTAAGTATGTCTCACGATATTTATTATACATTAAACATACTACAAATTTTCAATTTTTCAACTTTTTATCTAAACTATAGAGTTCTAAATCGAATACAGAAATTTGACAGGTGGACCTGCTACTCACTGTAGATAACATAAACTTTTAGTACTAATTCAAGTAAATAATAATTGCATCAAACGGAAAAACTGACTTGACTTGAGACTGAAATCTAAAACTAAGAGTACTGTGATTAGAACCAGTCAAAATGATTTAAGTTTAAAATCTAGGTGGGATCAAACCACAGTCTCTCCGAAACGATCATCCAATGAAGAGCTTAGGGTATCCACCTCATGTTCACAGATAAAAAAGGATCTTGTATCACAACTTATGTCATTTAGTAGTCCATTGTAGAACATGGAACCACACTGCTCCAGTTCGCCACCATCAGGCTGATTTGTACCCCAGCAGGTGTACCCAGTGTCATCTAATGCTGTACCTGTAATTGAAGCGGTATTATCAATATTTGAAATATGTCTGCTATATTTCTCTCAAAGCTAGATTTCTTGTATAGCTGTGGCTAATGACGTAACTTTATAAATGTTTAGTGTAGATATAAAATGTAGTATTAAATCTGGAAATGATATCATGCTCATATACTTATAGAAACAAGAAAAGATTTTGTAACGAGAAAAAAGTGGTAGAACGTCGCTGGCTATATGCAACGAATGAAGAGGTATCATCTTATCATCATCACTACCATCCTACTTTTGACTGGGTAGTAGATATCAATCTGTTACTATTGTAAAGTAGCGATGTAAGATGTACGTTTACTAAAAAAGAATTCTTGCCCTGACTGATGTTGAACCCTTTAAATTGCACTTAAGTTTTCGAAGAGAAGGTAAAGATCGTGAAATTATAGTTTTCAACGTACTAGTTACAATAAACACAGCAAATAACCATTCATTTGAGTAAAAATTAAGTAGAAATGCCCACATTCACATACCTCTAACAGCTTGCCAACCCTCATTGGCTCTGTTATGGAAGCCCAAGTGGACAGCTCCTCTCATGAAATTCCCTGGTACCCTATCCTTAGGCTTGGATTCTGTCAGGGCCACGAGATAATCAGCCTCTTCCTGCGTGTTGATAACAGCTAGATACGACTGCTCAGCGTTGCACACAGCGTAAGCATCAGTCCAGTTTAACGGATTCAGGTGGAACTTGTAGCATCTACCGAACAGTTCATTGTATACGTACTCTGAAAGTTACAAACATTATGATTACATAATAGTAGTTAAGTGTTTCTGGAAGCGGTTGGTCTGTGAAATCTATAAAGAAAATTACTTTCTGTAGATGGCGTGACCCGCATGACAAATCTAAGAATAGCTAGCCCCGTCATCGGTGAATGGGGCCCAATAGGGCTGATGCCGATACGGAGCCGCGGAGAGCCTAACGGGTTACCGGGGCTCTGGCTCAAAGTGTATAAATAGGAACAGGGTGGTTTTTAGTCAGTAAGAGTCTGATGCTCCCTCCCGCCTCACCCTGATGGGAGAAGGCATTCGATGATCCCCCCCCCTTAAAAACCTAATTTCGTACAGAAACACTGACTCTTGCCATTTTCCTTTCACTTCCATTCCAGCTAATGGCAATAATCCCAATAACTGGCTCAGTATCCAATCAATTGGGAGCTGCGGACAACCTAATGGGTTGCCGCCGCTCCGGGTATAAGCAGGAGTAAGAACAGAGTGGTTTTAGTCGGTAATTAAGAGTCTGGCCCTCTCTCTTGCCTCACTCAAGACGGGAGATCATTGACAACAAGGAATTCGAGTAATAGATTGTAGGTCGACTTTATTTAATCTGACAAAACAATTCATTTCACATTACATCTTACTGGCATAATCTTTCCTTTAACCTTAACCATTGTTAAACAATTTTGCGAATCATTGGCAAGGTGATACCAACCAGACCAAACTGGTTTTATTAATAATTTCATTCGGAACCCATTTGGGTTATAAATGCGAAAGTTTAGAAGTAGTTATAATGAATGTTTATATGAATAAATATAATGAATGTCTGACTGAATGAAAGACTGCCTCGTTGGTCGAGTGGTCGCAAGTGCGACTACCGGGCAAGGGGTCTCGGGTTCGATTTCCGGGTCGGGTAAATTATTACTGGGTTTTAAAAAAATCTCAGTAGTAGCACGGAATCTGGAAATGTGCCCGGTATATGGCAATAGGCCCACCCCCTATTACATGGGACTCATAACATAAATAGTGAAAAGTGGGTGTTACTTCTGTGTCAACCTACCCCTTCGGGGATAAAAGGCGTGATGTTATGTTATGTTATGTAATAAAGTAAAAATGTTACAATTAATAGGAACTAATTGCAAAAATGGTTACGACCACTCGGCCATCGAGGCATTTAACTTTATTAATTGTAACATTTAACTTTGCATGCCTAAACAGTGGGCGATATATGTGGGACAATTTTTATAACCATTATCACCACACTTCTTGCAAATAAACGTTATTATTCTTAAGTAATAGTCAGGACAAAACACAATAAACTAACAAATAACATACCTTATATATTTTTCAGTATATTATAATTATTGTCATTTACTTTTAATGATGTCTACCTCGAAGAAAGTTAACTGAAGAATAAGAAAAGGAATATGTGTTTATAGTTACCATCTCACATCATATTGTTACTATCGTGAGACATACTAAATCAACTAAAATCGCGGGTTACCCACGTGAGTATACTGAGAAAAGCTTTACTAGTTTCGAACCACAGAGCCCTTCTTCGATAGCGACGTCGCGCAGCTCACTGAGTAGTACTACAGCTTTTCTCAGTATATTGACGTGAGTAACTCGCGATTTTAGTTAACAAGTGCTGAAAATCAGCGCCGTGACTCGAGCACACTCGTGTCACGGCATTTAAGCTGAGCTCTTGCCTTTTTGCGCCGTCTTACTGTATTGTTTCTTATTTTATTTCCTTGTGTCAGTGTGCAAATAAAAAAAATTCTTTCTTTTTCTTTCTTTCTTTCATATTGTTACTGTTCAATGTACTTTACCGTTCATTATTAAATCTACATATAACATTATTCCGTTTTCGCAAATAACTGCGTAAAGTACCTACTTTTCGTACTTACCCATATACCTATATGGGTAGACCTTTACGATTATTATTGTAAGTACCTACTTACAATTATTATCGTAAAGGTCTAAAGTCAATGAACCAATGATAACAACGTATTTTCCTCAGTTTCATATTACTTTACGTAACGCCTTGTATTCCCCGATTTAATTAAGAGATAGGCATTTTATATCATAGTACCCAAGTGTTACCAATAAACCACCATTTGCATTTAAAAAAAGATGCTAATAAAATAGCTGGTTTATTGTTATCTAATGACCGTTTCAGTTGGGAAAATAGAGAATTTAAAAAACAGAAAAAGCAATCGATTTTTATTGACAAGCCTGCCGCAACCTCTCAATACCGCTGCAACTCCTGTAAGCCAGGATCTACAGTAGATACAACCATGAAAACACCGCAACACTGAAGCCCGGTGCCTCCCAGTGACATGAATAACTATCTTGGTTCCCGCAACGAAGTGAATCAGATGATATTATAAGAGGAGAAGAAAAAAACTATAGTTTCCACTTCTCTCAGTGAATTACTGCAGGAGACAGAATGAATTAAGCCTAATGGCACAAAAAGAGGGTGTACCCAATTTGGCCTAGGCAAAACTAGTTTGTCCTGAAATCGGGTTTGGCCGGTAACATATATATAATACATATATGCAGAATGTATATATGTATATAGGTATAGTGTTTAGTTTGTGTTTTCAAAATTCGGAAACTTGACTGGTCAGGTTACCTACCGCTGAGTTTTAGGAAGGCAACAAAGAACATTAAACATAAATTCAGTTTAGTTCATTCACCTCGTATGTGGTTTGCAGTTGCATACCTGCTTATATGCTATGCCACTACTTATATCCATAATATTGTCTGCAATATATAACGTAAGTAATTAAAAGGGATGGCTTCGATTTTAATGTGAATTTAATATAAATATAAGATGTATGGTAATTATACTTTTAATCGGTTAAGGCATTAGAGTTTGCTAGCCAACCAAATATCTCATTAAATTCCCGAATTCATATAATAGGTACTAGGTACTAACTACCACGCAGTTTCACCCGCTTTACTTGGCTCCTATTAATCGTAGCGTGGGATTTTATATAGTCTAATAAAGCCTACAGCCTTCCTCTGTAAGTGGACTATCCAACACAAAATGAATTATTCAATTCCAACTAGTAGTTCCGGACATTAACAAGATATACATTTTTATAGTCATAATAACTAAATAAAAAAATCACCCGAGCGTACGGCGAGTCGCGTTCCGCGCGCGCCTAAAAGAGCCATCATACCACCACTGATGGGGCCCAATAGGGCTGATATACGGAGCCGCGGAGAACCTAACGGGTTACTAGGGCTCCGGCTCGAAGTGCATGAGTAGGAACGGGGTGGTTTTTAGTCAGTAGGAACCTGACACTCCCTCCCGCCTCACCCAGGCGGGAGAAGTAATTCGATGATTTTCGCCCCTTAAAAAAAAATCATACCTAAGTTAGGAAAATTGCATTTCTGATTCCATTCCAAAGATTGTAGGCTCTTTTTGCATATAAAAGGGAACTTCTTATTGCATTGGTCATCATTGAGGGTGCCATCTTGTCTCAGTATCACGCAGTCTTCGATCCCACCAGCATCATTCGGTTCCCCTGGACCCCAATTGTTGTACACGTCTGATACTGGAAGACCTGCAAAATAAAACTTAGGGACTTATTGATTTGTTTTTACTGTCGTGTTGGCTTGGAGGTTTAAGACTTCTGTTTCTCAGGCATGAATGAATGGCATCTCAGGTGATGCGGGCTCGAAATATGACAAATACCGATGTGCTTTTTTCTCAGTAATATAAATTTACTTTCTAAGAGTATTTAGAAACTAGTGACATAAGCATGTACGGCAAAGAAAAACATCGCAAAGAAACTTGGTCGAATAATTTTTAATTATGAGTTCAAAATCGCCAATCTTCCTTGAGCAAGGGTGGTGATTAATGTTCATACTTTCGCAGTGTGAGAAGGGTTCAGATAATTTACTTTATTATACAATTGGTGGACAATCGACCTGATTAAGGTCCCAGGGAGCCACTGGATGCAGGTCGCTTCAAGCCGGCCTATCTGGAAGTCTTTGGGGGAGGCCTATGTTCAGCAGTGGACGTACTGTGGCTGATATAATGATGATGATGATGATAAACCTGTATTGTTAATATGTTTCTAATTAAATACTCTTTAGTAAATGCTGATAACATGAGACGATGATGTCATAAATGTATACCATAACGTCTGCTATTAATTTATCAATTTGATGGCTAGAGCAGTGGCGTAACTATATCGTTCGGGGCCCGTGGTCAATTCATCGGACGGGTCCCCGTTCCCAATAAAAAAGAGAAGATCAAACTATAACTTTTGAACGGAGCCTCTCCTAGCTGGGGGCCGTGGCATTCAGCCCTTTTACCAGGTCAGAGGCCAGAGGTAAGTCTACATAGGAATGGAACTTATAAACATTAAGGATCTGTAACAAAGGAATGAAAAACGAAGCTTTATTCTAATTAAGACCTCGTGAGACACCGCGTAGGTATGTAACCATAACACTGAATTATGAAATATATAATAATAGTAATGCCTAGGTTCTTTATTGATGTTCAACTCGGTGTTCAGTAAAGTAAATTTTAATGAAATCTTCGCGTTGAACACATTGGCAATAAATAACACTTTTGTTTCTTTTTTTGAACGTGTACGTATTGATTTTTTTTTATTGCATGTAGCGACTGTAAATTGCGATATAACTCGTTCTTATTGCAATATAGCAACTACAACTATCTACATAATTTATAGATAATAAATAATAAAGTATTTTAACGATATTTGTTTAAAATAACAAAACAATAATTAACTCGTCGAGTACCGGTTTTATAGACACAATTAAAGAACAATAGGTCGCGGTCACCGGTGACCGCTTGGTGTTTGACAGTTTAAGTAGATATCGTGTATCTATATGTACTTACATCCCGGTCACTTTTCCGGGGATAAACTTGCAAAAAAAGGTCATGTCACGTCGATTGTTTGTATAGCCTTTTATTTTATCAACGTATAATAATATTTAAATAACATAATATATATAGTTATGTAATAAGTATATGCTTACCGTCAATAGTCTCAAAAACTCCTTTTACAATTAAATCCGAAATCCCCACGTACACCCAACGGTACGGTTGGGTAGCGTTCCAAAACGAAAGCACGGCGTGGGCCTCATCATCGTTTTCTGGATAGAATAAACTGGCTCCTTCTAATGCACACACTCGCTTCGCTTCGGACCAAGTTTTATGTAACGTGTGGATCTTATAGAAGCCTTCAACTGCTTCTAAATACTTGTAATCTTTGCGAAAGAACTTTTTGTCTCTTTGACCATCTGTAAATTGAAAAATGTAGGTATTAAAAAATTAAATCATTCCATTAGAAAGGACAAATATGGAAATATAGGAATATAACAAAATATCATAAAATTTCATCACTACTTACATGAATAATCTGATACAAAGTTGACTATGATGAAAAATAACAAAGTTTTCGATAACATTTTGAGAAGTGACGCGACATGCGTCGTGTAGCACTCGAAGTTAACGTATGAGGTCGCAGAACGGATTCTCCGCCCGTCTACGCAATTTGCATAAAGATATACATAAAGACGTATGTATATAAGAATCTTTATCGCGTGTCAAATGCTATTCTACACGTATGTTTAATAACAGGAAAACACATATGGTCGAACAACTTCGAAATATCTAAACTCATCTTGTTTATCAGGGTTTTTTGGGTTTCAAAATTAATTAGATTCTATTACCTCTCTTATATCCGTTACCTACATAACGTAGGTGGGAACGTCACTGGTTTAAAAGTTTAGTAAAATGAATACAGTTACTCGAAACAAAAAGTATCTTTTTGTGATGACGACCGACCACTATCCACGTACAGTAACCTCAATTATTATACTCGTGTCATTTTGAATTGAAATAAAAAGAAAGGTAAGGAAATTGTTGCTGGGTGTGGGTTGCTTCCAACCAGCCTATCATTAAGTCCTTAGGGGAGGCCTATGTTTAACAGTGGACGTCTTGTGGCTGCAGGCACGGATCTTGACTCTGTAGGGCGCTGGGCTACTCAGGGGGCTATTTTCTAGGTAGTGTCCATAAAGTACCAGTGATTTTTTCTCTGATACCCAAGTATCAGAAGATTGGAAGTCGACCAGGTTAGTACAATTGGTGAAGCGCACCTTGATGAGGCGGCAGATGCGGTTCGGCTAAGATACCCTTCGACCTAGTTGATTTTAGTAGCCCATCACCAGTAGTGGTTGTTTCTATACCAGTGCACTGACCATGCTGCTAGGGAGATGCGTAGGTTTGTGCTGAGCTGATCCAGGAGGCAAAAAAGGTGCCCGATGTTGATACGCACACAGCCAACTGCTTAAATCTTCTGCTGACAACTGATCCAGACCGTTACTTGGTGTCAGTCTCACCACCTCTAGGCAGCTCTGTTCACAGTCTGGTCAAATCTGTTTACACACATTTCTCGCCGGATTAGGATCTGGGGCTAAAGCACCAGAAAACCTAAGTGGATGTGGCGATACATATCAGCAGATTGGGATGGGATGCAATCTTTTTGCGGCCTATTTGCTTCCCTTCTGATAACCCGTCAGCTTGTACGGATGCTGAAACGGGGCTGTTGCGTCATGGCATGGAATGCTACATTCTATCAGGCTGCCACGTCATGCAAAAAGATAATAAGGATAGCTCGGTTTAATCACATTTGCTGAATAGGGACAAACTTGCTACTTACGCAGCGGGTGGTAAAGCATTTTGGTTCCTGGCCAAAGTGGTCGCACATACGTATCTAATATCCAAAAATAATGTGTTAGATATTTTTACAAAGTGGGACTAGTCCCACTAGTTACAAGGACTAGTCCTTATCACATTATTTTGACCTGAGGACCCTGTAGCATCAATAGTATTTATACATTCATACCTACATATAAGATAATTGTGTAGTATATAATAAAGCAACTGGAAAGAGACTGCGTACTCTGTCAGTTTCGCAGTTTTACGCCGCACTTGCGAACAACAACAATCATGGCTTCTAAAACAGTACTGGTTTTGCTTATAGTATATGTGATAACGGACACCTCTGGTAAGTTATGCAGTAATAAGTGAATAAGTATTATTTATTTATTTATTTCTTCTTCACAAAACATAACAGTAGTGGCGGACTTAATGCCTTAAGGCATATTTAGTCTTCTTCGTTTCTCTTGTCTTAATACCAATTTTAAGTCATTCTTCCTGTATTTATACCAAGTTTTTTTTAATCGCGATCAGTATCCGTATAGACAAGTCCTCCAGACAAATCGGATCGCTATTTGCCACATTAATTAATTATGCGTACATTAATTACAAACTCACTTTTCTCACAATAACGATTGTTTATTCAAAATTCTGTATGTATTGTATGTATTCTGTAGATGTATTTTTATTTTTTTATATTCTTTGTTTTCTGTACGTGTAATTGCCAAATAAATGATTTTTCTTTCTTTCTTTCTATTTATCCTTTTTTATTTATTTCATTGTTACCTTCCACTTTTTAAAGGCAGCCTCGTTTTGTCATTATGATTTTCATCAAAGAACTTCTCGTGACAAAGAACTCTTCTCTCAGTCGTAACTAACTTAATATAGATACCGTATCTTTTTTCATAATTATCTTTATTTGCTATAGTAATAATAACTTGATTACAAGGTTGAAAGGCAAGAGATTAGCTGTTTGCTTTTTGCAAGCTGTGTGCAAGAATCGCTGCTTGGTTAATATCAAATATTGGTTGGATGATTATTATTTTTTCATTGATTCTTTTTTTCAGTTGCTCAAGAAATAGACTTCCGATCTGATTACACATATATTGCAAAACAAGAAAGCTTCTATAAGGTTCACCTAGCCCAAGTGCCCTGGTTAGAAGCAAAGCGCGTGTGTGCTCTTGAAGACGCAATTTTATTCCACCCAGAAAATGTGGCTGAAGCCGAAACTATCTTGTCGTTTATAAAAAATGCCACACCATGGATAGATGAAATATATGTCTCATTAAATGATATTGACGCAGAAGGAATGTTCCAGACCATTGATGGTAAGTGGTTCATCCATCAGTTCCGCATCTAATTTCTTCTGACACCGACTTCATACGTTACCTACGTACAAATAGATAGGTGATTCCCGTTCCCATGCGAATTTAGGGCTATCCTCTATTGGTACCTACACCTCTACACCCCTATTGGCATTGTCTGTCAATCAGTCAGTCAGTAAGTCAGTCAATCAGTAACGGAGGAGACTTATTGTTGATATGGTAATAAAACTATCCCTCCAAACCATTCATCTCCATTCCATCGGGTTAAGTTGAATTATAAGTTTGAAATCGCCAACCCGCATTGAGTAAGCGTGGTGATTAATGTTTGTTTCATCTCCATGTGAGAAGAGACCTTTGGAATGCAGTAGCCACTTATAGGCTGTTGATGTGATGTGACAGAGTATATTAAAAAGTTATCGAGACACAAAATCATATTGATATATCAGACAGAAGAATACAATACGTATTACCTGCACATCCGCCTAAACCAGGGAACCAGGTTGCTTGGAAGGATAGATAAATATTATCTCTGGGTCACCAAGCTGGCATAGGCATTCTTGGCAACACCTACACGCAATTTAAAGGAACCCTGCATCTTATGAGAGGAGCTCATAGTGCCGAGAATCCGTCGACTTTGGCCAACCATAAATGTGGGAGAGCCATGCTTCGGCACGAATGGGCCGGCTCGATCGGAGTGATACCACTGCCTCACAGAAAACCGACGTGAAGCAACGCTTGCGTTGTGTTTCGTAGTGTGAGTGAGGTTACCGGAGGCCGGACCCTCCCCTTCCCCAATCTCTCCAATCCCTGAATCCCTAACGATCCTCAAACTCCTAATCCCCAAAAAGCCGGTAACGCACTTGTAACGCCTCTGGTGTTCCAGGTGTCCATGGGCGATGCCGATTGCTTACCATCAGGTGATCCGTCTGCTCGTTTACCGGCTTATGCCATAACAAAAAAAAACCAATGCTGGGGTGTCACCCTTGTTTTTCAACCCCTATAACCGCCGTTCTTTCTATCTTAGAAGCAACGAAATAGTTAATTCAGAAAACTGGTGTAATTAGCGATGAAATGGGTGAAGTTTCATACATAAACTACTTAATCTTATTTCTAGGTAAACTAATCTCCGATGTATACGGTAGTTGGAAACCAAATGAGCCGAACAATATGGGTGGTCAAGAGAATTGCGTTGCACTTCTAAACGATGGAAAAATGAATGATTATGATTGTAACTATAAGAAATATTTTGTCTGTAAAAAACCGGTGCATTCAGTGAAATGGAATTCAAGATGCAATATGTCGAGTCCAGGTAACTTATTCCTACATGTACCTGTTTGGCAGATTTTAGACTGAGTAACTTCGTTGCCGTTAGTTGTGCATTAACAAAAACTAGAGGTACCTTCTGATGTGACATTTTTTTTTCAGGTTACACACACAGCAAGCAGACAGGCAGTTGTTACAAGTTGCACACGAAGCCTATGAAGTGGTTGGATGCGTATACCACGTGTCGTATAGAGCAATCTAACCTGGCCGTGATAGACTCCCAGACAGAAAGAAATGTCCTTGTGAATCTAACGACACATGCCTCAGCGCTCCTGATTTCGGAAACTTACCAAAAAGGAATATTTCATTTGGGCTTCCATAACAGATATAATAATGGTTGGGTGACAGTTAAAGGTATGGGACGTGCAATCATTATCAATTATTGCCTTCATTACAATTTAAGTATAACACTATTATTGTCCATTTATTTCATGGTTTCAACAAATATACAATTTCAGCAAATAAATACCAATCAATAAGATTAAGTATGTATTGAAAAAAATACAGGACTGCCTCGTTGGCCGAGTGGTCGAAAGGCCAACTATTACTGGGTTTTTAAAAAAAAACTCAGAAGTAGCACGGAGTCTGGAATTGTGCCCGGTATATGGCAATAGGGTCACCCCCTATTACATGGGACTCATAATATAAATAGTGAAAAGTGGGTGCTACATTGGACAGTGGCATAATGTGCACCTCTGTCTACCCCTTCGGGGATAATAGCCGTGATGTTATGTTATGTTATGAAAAATACATAGGTATTATAGGTAGTGCGTTTTTTTATTTCTTCAGTTTTTGAGTTTTTCGTAGTTGATCATTTTGAAATCAAAACTAAAAAGTTAAATATTTAGGCTTAGTTGCACTACAGAAAGTAGTTATAGTATTAGTTAGTGTCACATTTAACAGTAACTCTAACGCTGACTTTAACAGTTACAGCAAAATGTGTTGCATTAGCGAAATCAGTAGCTTTGTCAAAGTTAAAAGTATTGCAAGTCAAATGAGGTGTGATTTTCCCCAAATTTGACGTCGGTAATATTTTAAACATGGAAGACTAAAGATAATCGTAAAAAGTATCGAAAATTTCAGTACACTGGACTGAAATTCTCGAAATTTATTTGAAATTATAATAAAACCTCCTTATTTTATCATGATGTGATGAATACCAAAGAGTATAGTAAGTATAAGCAGGTATGAATACGATTATTAAAAAATATGTTTTTGGTGTGTCATCAACTCATCATTGTCACTTGGTATGTAGCAGAAGAGCTGCCACGATTTTTTAGGACATAAGCTACTAATAAATTATGTACTGTAATTATGTTTTGATAGATGCATTGTTGACACTTACTTTAACATTAACCAGAGAAAAGTGAGCGGTTACAGTTATAGTTAAAGTTATGATGTCATTTAACAATTTGTCAATTGGTGCAATTTTGACATTTGTTACTGTTAAAGTAAATTGGTACAACCCAGCCTTAACGGGTCGTGTCCGTGTAAGTATTGGTTTAATGTTGGAATATTTCCAACATTAAAATTTCGACGTCGACCAAACCAATACGTTGGAACAAACCAATAATAAATGTTGGAACAACACTTTGTGTGATCCACAAATTGTTGTTCTGGGTCTGGGTGTCATTGTGTATGTGAACTTGTAGGTATGTTTGTAAACGCACCCACGACACAGGAGAAAATCCTAGTGTGGGGCAACGTTTTAAAAAAAAAAACAAACAAAACAAAACGCTTTATCATGCGATGATTTGATGTTTTGTATCGTTTCTTCAATATATTAAAAAAAAAACTGTTTTATAGAATAGAACATTTCCAACATTACATACCTATACGAGATTATATTGTAATAATAAACTACTCTGTATCTGTAGGTATAATATTGTTCACAGAAAAACCAATGGGAATTCATAATGAGACCTGGTGGGGTGGCTACTATCCTGGTGAAGAATGCCATAACAAGTGTGGAGGTATGTTCTATAATGGATACCTGGTCAACAATGACTGTGAAACGAAGAGTTTATTCATTTGTGAACACCAAGTAGACAACCAGAATGCACATGAACTGGATGGAAACATTAATTCCCAGCAACTATGATAACGTCATTCCCACCAACTGGTCAACTGGAAATAAAATATTTTTGTTGCACATGGGTTTTACTTCATATTTTTATTACCTATAATAACTATTATGTTCTGCCAACGTCGAACGCGTTTCTGGGATAAAAATTACCCCATGTCACCATGAGTTATTTCAGTCCAAACTGTTCACTATTTCTGCGCCAAATTTCATCCATATCCGTCTAGTAGTTTGTTCGCTAAAGACTAACACACTACATTTGTATTAGTAGCATAAATTAAATGTGCTGCTCATACATAATTGAAATTATTAGCTTTTTAAGAAATTACAGCGATTGACCATTTCTACTTTCTCATCCTTTTTAAAAATCAATGTAACTAAATTACAATTTAGCACCTACGATATTTATTTAAGTACACTCTTATTTGTGATTCCCTGAATTTAATATAATTACATAGCACTACATATATCAAGCCTTTTTATTCCCCAGTGAGGTAGAACGAAAACACAGAATGTGATTTACCTTTCGCCTGATCTAAAAAGTTAGAAAAAAGATATGATTAACATAGTATAGTACTATTTAGTGTTATTATGAAGAATTTAGAACTTCCAAATATTGCTATACAGCATCAGCTTCCGCGTCCACAACCATCGAAGCAGTTTGGCAGCATTCATTTAATACTTTTTCAAGAAAAAAAATCCGGTTAGGTTAGTTACACATCAGTTCACAATGGAGGCTACTGTACCTATTTTTGCTCATCAGATGGCGCCATTGTAAACCTGTAATTTTTCGTCCAACAGAGAATTACTAGTGTCACACGATTGGACGTTTTATCTCGTGTTCGTGTTTAGCTGACCGCTGCAATGATTGGACAAATCACTTGCCATATTTGCGCCATCTAGTGACCAGAATACGGCAGCCCCCATTACAGAATATAGGTGATTTACGGAGTTCTGTGCTATTATTATTTATTAGTATTATAGGGTATTTTTGTAGGTCCGATGATTTGAAATAAAAGACAGAAAATATTTTTTATAATTTTATCTTGAGGTGTAAGTTTATTCGCATTTAACAATGTTTCATACAAATTTCCTCATTTTGTACACACCTTCCTTGGTTTTTGTTTTGTAGTTATATCTTTTATAAAAGTTGTTTCTCTAAATTTTAACATGTCGTCATGTCTGTTCCCTATATCTAATTCGCTTCACCACTGTTGTTAAACCATGTAATATTAACAGAGGATTTACTAAGGCAAAGTATTAGGAGGAAAGTAAAATAGTTACTGCGGACTAATAGATTGAAGAAATAATAATTATACAAAATTATTGTGTTTCGATGAACACGGAATGGGCCCTTATCTCGTAATATCAGCCTTCCCATCGTTCGACGTGGCACTACAGTGACAGAGTCGGCTTGTGAGGCAGCGCTCGGCCGCCTCTACGTATTACTAGAGATTGCACACATCGCACTGGTATCAGTGGACTCCAAGCCAGTCCACGAGGCTGCCAGTTACATCTAATAAGAAAATTCGTTACTAAATAACAACTAAATCACTTTAAAATCAATTCAAAATGTACATTATTCATCTTATCCACGTAAACAAATCTAATCTGCTACAAAAAATTAGCAAATTTAAATACAAAGATCACCTAGTCCGTCTATTATAAAATTAATCACTTAAGTATTAGAAAAACACAATAGTGAGAGTGTTTGTTGCGAAGCAACTCACTTGTGATATCGTTTATTATGCCTTCTAGTGTACATTCAACGAATGAATAGTGAAACATATTGCGTTGACACATTAAAACTAAAAAAATGACTGTACATGTTATATTTAATATGTAAATATTTGTACATATTGCACTCTGAAGTAACAAAATTATTAAGAAACATCTGTCGAAACGAAGAATATATACGCAGAACAAAAATATCTCAGTAAATACAAATTCAAAGTAAATAGCAATCACAATGTTCGTAGCTCGTACACTAATCTAAGTCCCTATGGCTTACAAAGCTTACAAAAGATAAATACAGAGGTCATTTACAAAAAATATACTTCTACCCAAATAATATAAAAATAACAACAGCCATCTGTACTTTCTTAGATGAATAAAATTAAACGTACATATGTCAAACATATGACAATAGAATCTAAAGGTACCTATGTACAAAGTTTAATGGACACAGTAGATTTTATCAAATCCACCATATATTATTTTATTAGACTGGACGTGCCACGTTTGGTCACTACAATACTCAGTGCTTCCGAACAATATGAACTAAAGTATAGATCAAAAGGCATTGAAGAAGGTGTCAGCTCGTTACATCGGCTGTGAAGTCGGTCCAGTCTCACCCGCTGCTGTACCCCTTGTACCGTCTCTCCCACAACTACATCTCGTCAACTCGTCAAGCGATATAAACTTATTATCTTACTAATGTTCCATTATCAGCTAAGACACAAATTATATTAGGGTATCTCATTATTTATTACTTTCTCATGTGAGATTATTACATACTTAATAAATCTATTACAATTTCGAAATTGAATAATATGTATCAAATACGACCGGCTGTGCACCGACAGAAGCCGAAATCTAACAAGCTATTTATGAAACTACGCGTCGAATGATGTATAATAATTACTTATCGAATGGCAGTTATATTTGTCACAAACTTGAGATGCAACGCAGTCGCGACCGAGCCCGCGGCGGCTGCCGCACCTCTGAGAGCTGGAGGGTCCACCGCGGGTTCGCTCGTCGTGCACCTCAGTCATAAGGCAACGTATCGTAGCGCTAGATTTCAATGAATGTTCATTCCTATCACCTACAGTTCACAACAGAAACGTATTCATCAATACAAAACCCAGCTATAACACGCATACAAGATCGCACCATGCAATAATTATACGATTATAATGGCAGTGTGTTTGTTATCAATACGCCCCTATAACACCAGAGACACTTAAGACACTCCAGTGACGTTTGTGCTTCGTTTGCTATTTTAGAAACGCCTAATGCTACAATAAAATTATACAATGTTAATCGAAAAGATCGTTTTAAGCGGCCTAGCGCGCGGTCCGCGGTGCAAGCCCGATCGTCTCACGCTGATTTTATACGTATATTAAGAAATGCATTTCCAAAACTCCAAACACATGTTATTATGTAAATATACAACACACTTAATGGCATGTAAAGAAGACACATTCAACACGCACCAAACAGACACTTACGTTACTTATTTATCGATAATGTTATGGATGGTGAAGTATCGCTCGGTCGCGGGACTAGCGAGCTGTGACATGGAGATGAACGTTACACGCGGCGTTGGTGTTCTAACTATGAATATTGCGACAGACAGAAGGCTTCGAGACGGACGCTGTACAGAACCATGAACGAGAAATGCGCCGTCGACACAAGCTAACGAAGAGGAACCGACACGACGCGAAGCGCCAAGAACGGAAAACACGTCTAACGTATTCTTTAACAACGCTTACCGGTAATTGAGATCGATTAATTTTATGTTCTATATACTATGATTTGTCGTCAACGATGTAGGTACACAACACAGGTAACGCGAAATAAGGCATTTCGTATAGGAGTTATCGCTTCACGGCAGTATTAATGTGTCGAATGTGTATATAATAATGTGTTCATATTGCTACTAGGTTCTTACTGTATGTGGAGACGGCAGACAGGTTCGGCCCCGCTATGACCACGTTGCGTGCATGTCGTCTATCAACATGTTACACTTTAGTGTCTACTACACCAATATTGTTCCCATAGAGTAAGCTCGGCCAAATCGACACTAGATCACTATTACTTTTTATATTGAAGCCATAGAATAGAGGTAATTCAGCTGCCATTTTGTACTTTCATATAATATACATAGAATTAAGTAAAGGAATGTTGTATCTAAATAATAAAAATAAATACTTACAAAGATTAATGTTTTATTTTAGGCTCTACCGTTATTATTCCATACCTACATTACAGCTGCCTTAGAACATGCACGCAATGTTAGGTCCACATAACAAGTAGAACGGCTTTACACTCGTTTATAAGGACCACAACAAATAACTACGATTCGGCCGAACCCGTCTCCGTTTACTTAAGTGTAATGTGACACAAATAGACTATTTCACGTACGTCTAGTTATTTTATTGTATGATTATGAAAGTAACCTTAAATTGCACTGACATTTTAATTGTTACTGGCTTCAGTATCTACGTTTAAAGAGTCAACAGTATGGTGTATTCGTTTAGATACTAAAGTCGTGTGATCTTAGTCGTAGAATGGTGAATGTACATCGATTATTATTCTATTATTGCGGGCCGAGTGTCCATGTGAATTAAACACGTACTGAAACTAAATAGAGGCTTGCATGTGTGGAAGCTATCAACGACACACAGCTTGTATTGTAATAAGTCGCACTTACTTCAGCCTACAGTAGATCAACATGTCGTAAATGTAATCACAGCAATAAATTATAATTATTATTCATTTAGTCGAGGGACGCGGGCACAGGACGATAGAACATGAATCGGAACTAAATCGACAGGACACGATAACACGCCTCACATCTACTATAATATAAACCACGTTGTCGTAGACACCACGGGAACGTGGCCACGGCGGACTACTCGACACAACACAGTCGACAGCCCAGTAGGCCAGACGTATTGTTCATTTTTTTTAAATAAACATAATATAACTTTTCACCCAATAGAAACATCTTTTCATATATTACTTTGTCTCTAATAACTCTCGTAACGTATGTACGTATGTGTAATTTAGGAGGTGTACTTATCGAACGAAGTCTTATCATACAGTCGTATCCGAGTGACCAACTCAGTATCCAGTCGAAAACGAAATAAAGTCGGAGCCGCGGCGGGCGCCGGTCGAGCTGCCGACCGGCGGCAGCGCGGGCCCGTAACGATCAACACTAATATATATTCTCCAAACGTTCAACAACACATATATTCACTAATCTCTCGCACATCATCGTCGTCGGTCACCGAATACGTACGAAATCGGGTACAGGTGTACCCTCTTAAGTGGTAAAATTCGCAGTCCTTATAAATAGGTTGATCACGTCCGACGTCAGTGTCCGTGCACTTCACTAAAACTAGCCAGTCTATGAGCGTTCTCTCCTGAGGGCGGCGGGCGCAGGCTACACGTGGCCGGGTCCCCGACGGGGCCCAGGGGTCCGCGGGGGCCCGGGGGGCCTCGGGGGCCGCTGCGGCCGCGAACGGCGCGGGGGCTAGAGCGCCGCGCTTTCCGTCACGGGGGCTGCCGGCGTGGCTGTGGTGGACACGTCCGCCACGTCCCAGATCTCCTCGAGGAACGGCGGCAGCTTCCTGTTCTTCAACTTGAGCGAGATGCACATGTTGGAGTTCTGCATGCCCAGGGTGCGCAGCTCCGTCAGGACGCCGAGGATCTTACCGAAGACGACGGGGCAGCGCGGCGACGCACTGTGCTGGTTCAGAACGTACATCCGCAGCGTGTTCAGGTAATATCTCTGGATCTCCTCCACCAACAGGGGTTGCTCAAGCCCGGGCCGGTCTGGAAAACATTCGATACATTTTTAAAATGGGTACAAACGACCAAATATTCATTGATTTCACAGTTTATCACATTATCAACGAGAATCTGGACTGGACTGCAAGATGCAGATCGTTACCAAAAAGGAAACACACATAAAGAAACTTCTTTTTAAACCCTGACCAAAAGCTTTATACATACAACTGACCTGAGAAAATGACGATGGCGGTGAGCAGTGCGTATTGGACGTTATCCATCGACATGGCGTACATGCACCTACAGAAGTGCAGTAGGTCCTCGATGACGTAGGCCATGCCAGCCTTGCGGTAGTTGTCGCGAGTGTACGCCTGGTTGTTGGCGAACAACACGCTATCTGTCGACGCATCATACCGCCGAGCTACTCGCAACATCATCACCTCACTCGAACAGGCCTGACGATTTAACAAACATCATCATTAGACACATGCTTTGCAAACATTCAAGTTAATGATATATTATATAACATTGAAAATAATATCTTATGATTTTATTAGTGATATCAAATTAGTACCTTTAATAACGTGATCTGATCCGACTGGGAGATCTTTGCGAAGCCTGGTAGGCCCTTAGCGAATTCGACAATGAGCTGCACTGTGAGGATCGTCATCTCGGTGATCTGACGGAACGGCATGTCCGATTCTTCATCATCTTCATCCGACTGCCAGGTCTGAAAGTGATAGATATCATTAACGATATAATACAGAATAAAACAAGAATGTTACTAAGGCTGTTCAATTGTTACGTCATCAATGAAATTATAATAAAACTTAGTACTTTGTTAGTTACAAACTAACTTAGTACTCATTGAAATATAATGACGTTTTTACTCATAGTTTTTTACAAAGCTATGGTTTGTGATTGCCAATTGTGTATAGTAAAATTCTCGTTTTATTAAATTTGGAAAACAATAAAAATAATACATATTGTATGTAATATAAAAATGATATCGCATGCACTGCCAAAAACTGCTCTCGAATAATTTGTTTATGGTGTAATTTTGAATGAATAATCTCGCTATATGAACCCAAAAACGTGGGTTCCGGACATAGGTCACAGTGTATATGTAATACTACAAGTAGCACCAGTTATTTGTGTTTATGAAACGAAAACCAAATAGTTTACAAAGAAATGTGTTAACCTCTTATCTGTTGGCATGTGAGACGCAATAGAAAACACATTGTGTCTCGCGTATATCTACGTCTCTGGCATACCAGAGGTTACATGTAGTTTTCAATACCCAGGTTAAATACATATAACCCGAAAGTTGAAAACCAAAATTGTCTTATATCCTCATTGATAAGTATTTTGGACTTTTATACATCACATCACCCGGTGCGGGCAAAATGTCGAATCAGATAAATGGTTCATTTCATGGTAGCAAAAGCCACATAAAAAATAAGGTGCATATATTGCTTTTTCTACGATAAAAAATAACTAGGAAACCATATGAGAGTCAGCTTGTGCAGAAACCAAACAAAATTATGAAACACCAAAGTGAATTACCTGTGTGACTCTTTTTAGGTCCTCTTCTGATGGCTGTTCGTAGCCTTCTTGGTACCAGACCAGCCTCGCTATAAGGGACTTCTGGTTGGTAGTGAGGGGGGGCACATTCTTCAGCCTGTTCTGTTCCAGTATCTTTTCAGTCAGGAATCGAGGCACCACCTCGTGCTGCAAACATTCCAGCTTCACGTAGGAAACCGTGGGGTCATTATTTGCTTCATATATTATGTGTAAGGAAAACTAATTTTGAATTTGATTTGTCTAATGTGTTATTGGAAAAATGAAACAATGTCTTAGGAACGGAATGGAAACAATGAACTCCTTGAACATTTTATAATACTAATGTAGTTGTGGAAGTGGTGTGTCTTTTAACATGAATTTAATTTTAAATGTGTTGTGTTTCTATTTGTTTCTTGGGAAGGTTTAGTTTTCTATACTGCATGCATGAGGTCATGGTAATACAAGAAGCAAAAGACATGTAGCAGGGATGTTCGTCCCGTGAGCGACAGTGACATTTTTCATTTACATTTCAAATAAAAGCTAACGATTACAATTCATAACACCCCACAACGGTCTCACACAAACATGAATAATGAAGCAGAATTCCATTAATTTTGCTTTAATATTCCAGATAACGTTACAAAAAAACATGGCGGCAATATTCAAGAATTGAAGATGGAGTTTGGATATCATTGAAATGTCTACAACCATCGATGTCGTAAATGACAGAATATTTCCATAACATAGAGAAGTAATGAAAAACAATAATGTTCAGTGAACTTACAATTCTGGCAGCCTCTGGGGGCGGTGGATCACATTGCATAATGGGAGGCATGTGATCATCTACTGTCGTTGTACTGACGGGCAACTTGTCTTTTTCCCTTTGTGCCTTCTTCTCTTTCCGTTTCATCGCACACTGGTTTTCAGGCACTACGCACTCGGGCCTCATGCCCACTGCCAGACATTTCTTCAACCGACACTCTTGACATTTTCTCCGCATATACATATCCATCTCACATGCGTGTCCGAATTTGCATATGTACACCGCATTTTTGGTTACACTCCGCCTGAAGAATCCTGTAATTGCCAAAATCACGATTATTAACGTGCAACATAATCCAAATCCAAAGGTTTCCTACAAATGTCTACTTTTAAATAACGAAAGATGCTGATTTGCGGGACCAGTTTTTAATGATAAAGTAATGGACTCATCAACGTAAGGTCGCCTGAAAGACGAGGGTCATTGACAGAAGCACGAACGCCGATTTTATTACAAAACAAACAAGATAGATAGCTCTCAAATGACTTGAATTGAACGTAATTGGTATGAACAAGGTTTGGCCTGTACAACATAGGCAGATTATGGTCGCACTCGAGGTTTATTCAGTGATCTGAATTAAATAGGCATATTTATTCTCGGGTCGACAGTGAAGGTTGGCGGAGACGTACGAAGATGTCCGATAGGCGACTCTGACTCGAGAAGCAGACGCCCTGCAGACAGCTATTGTGACGACTAACTGTCTGTTCATGCACGCGCAGCTCATAACAACCTCGGCACAATGCGCCAATTTAAAGCTGAATTGGCACATTCGTGGGCGAGCCACACAAGGGCTGTGTATGTGTAGATTGTGTAGTAATATCTAGGTTAGCAACGCACATGACTTAGTTGCGCTAAAAGTGTTCCGAAAACATTTTTGCTGCTGCATTAGTTATGTTTTGCAACCAGATTGTAGCCGTGTATTCGGTATATCGTATTTCAAATAATTTTAATTATAGATTTCTGTTTTGCATGAAAGAAAAGATCTCAGAGTTACAATATTTTTTTGGACTCATTGAACAACGGTCATACCTTTACACCCTTCACATGTGAGCGCGTTGTAATGGTACCCGGAGGCTCTGTCGCCGCAGACGAGACATAGCTCCTCTTGTTGCCGCGGTGCTGGGCCTTTCTTCTGCCGCCTCGCCTCGCCATCTGTACTGCAGCCGTTAACACTTGAAGCCGGTGACAGTTCCTCACGACCTGAGAACAAAAACAATTGATATTAAGTTTATGTTGAAAGTGCAATAGCGTAGTAATATAAAGACTCGAGTCCGGTGGCCGTGCGGCGCCGTGTCGAGAACATCTAAAATCGGACGCTATAAAATTTGCATACATTTCATGAACCATTTGTCGTGTCGGCGAGCGAATGAAGTTCATTTTATTTTTCGTTTTTACATTCGGGGCGATGGTCCTTCGTCGAAGAGATGTTTTCGTAACGAAATACTCGCAAGTAATTTTCGGCAGTAGCGTGGACATTTCCTGCCTAAACAAAGGTGGCTAGAGCGAACTCCGCATACTGATGAGCTCCAGTATCCAGTATTGGTATTCGAGCGGTGCGGGAGCGGGGACCAATGTGCGTTGGAACTGTAATCGGCAATTGTCAATCACGCAGTCGGAACTCCATAAAAAGTAACGATGGAATTGTTAATAATAACTCCTCGGCATCGCGCTCAGCACGACCACTGTTAGTTGCTGTCAAGTGATTTTATTATTCAGAGTTTTTAATAATATTTCATTTAGGATATCTCAAATATGGCAAAATATACATTTTCTGTTCTACTTGGACGCCTTAAATGTGTAAATGACGCGTTATTTGTTATGGGCGGGCAGATAAACAAATGCCAATGATTAAGTCGACCACGTACCCACCGCTCTAGCGTATTAACCGGGGGTCCATTTAAGCTTCTCCTCATTAATTTTATTTACGTTTTATGGTGTCCATTAAGCGTCGCGGCCGTGGGTCGGTGGCCGGAGCCGCATGTATGTACCTGCGTTACGCAACCGGCCGAAATAGCCGCTGCCAAAAAACTAGTTCCACGTGGGATCCGAGCCAGCGCGAGTGGCATGCTTCGCAGAATGCTTACCGCTCAGATACACTCATCTAAATGACCCGAAAACCTCGTATTACGGACATATAATAATTCTATTAAAAGCTTCAATGATATTTGCGTAGGAAATGTTCGTGATCTATCATTGATGACATTGTAAACATGGACTACGATAGGCTAGATGAGATCCACTTGCGTTTCAGCCGATGTGTGCCAATTTTTTTCTATTAACTTCACGGTGATTGCTGAAATTATGTATCGTGCATGGCGGGCCGCAATAATTCACTCGATAAAAATGTCTCAATAAAGAGGTCAAGTGCGTTGTTTTATCGCAATGTTATTTACATCGGCGTGAACACCAACTGTTCAGTACAACAGTATCTTTACACACAGTACCTACATACACTGACCTAGGCACTGTGGATGTATGTAAACGATATGCAGGCAGACATGGAGGAAAACCATGTCCTATACACATTAATTACCTACATTTTGTGTTAATATATTTAATTCAATTTCAACGTTTTTGTAATTTAGGTACTACTTACTCTATTAGTGTAATAAAATAATATTTAGTTCTCCTGTCCCATAAATGGATTTTTTTTTAAATACTTGACCGATTGACCGAGGTGACACGAAACTTGGCTCGGATTCACAGACGCTTCCGAATAAGATTGACGACCGCTAGACTGTTCATTTGATTGTCCACATTAAATAACTTTTTTTATAAGTTGACGCAACACACATAACGATAAAATAAGAATTAAATAGGTGAAAGCAATATCACAGTATAATTTTCACAATGTGGTAAATAAGAGTACTAAACTCGTTTAAATGTCAAAAAATATTCAAACCATAGTGATGTAAGTTAACTCACGAATGCTAAATGTTATTTAGAAGATGTCGTCGCGTTATAGCATAGACGTAACCAAACTTCTATAATTAGTGGTACTATCAAATCACTGCCCGTGAAAAAGAAAGCTAATCAAAAGTTGAATGCACGGATGACCGAGTCAGTGTGTTATGTTATTACGTCTCAGCTGTTCAGTGTGTTGCGCTCGCGCATTGGAAGGTCTAGTTCGTGGCAGTTCGGCGACGCTCGGGCGCGGTCGGGTGTGCGAGCGAGAGGCTCTTGAAGAGCGACAAGTGGGGCGCGATCGTCGACCGGGGGCAGCGTGCGGCCTTGACTCTTGCGTCCCCCCTTCCCCACTTCCTCGCCACGCTCGCCGCGCAGCCACATTATTTATGATAGCATCAGAGCTCGAAGCAAGCTCGCGATTCTCTTCGACTAATAATAACTCGTTTTTCCTCTCACGCCATTTCATTTTTTTCAATCACCAAGTCTTTAACAGACCATGTCCTAAACTGAGTTTTTTAGTTTATAAATAAATGCTATCGTCGATGATAAAATATTTACCATACCTATTCTTCTAAGTAGAAAGTAACTCAGCCGTGATTTTTGGGCTACTATGAGCTGACGCATATTGAGACACTGACAAGCATTGATTAAACAATACGCAACTTTCACTGACCTCAGAAAACAGACAACGCAATCATTTTGCAGGCGCGCCGCGTAAGCGACTAGTGAAAGTTACCCAAAAGTAGGTATTGCACAAGCCTACATGGCACACGTAATTGAAATTCGGGTGCGGCGAAAGTAAGCTGCTCTATGCATTGTGACATCACATTTAGGGCCTGTTTAGCATTCACTGAAGCTGCGGTGGACATAGTTAAGTCGTGTTCTAAACAAAATCCAGTGGCACTTGCCTAGGTAATGCAATGGTCTTTTGTAACAAATTGCATGACTAGTTACATGGTAGGCATTTGTTTAACGTAAGCACTCAGGCATTTCGTTTTATTAGATTTTTAGAGAAACGTGATAAACATAGAGAATTGAGAAGAATTCCAGTAATCTGAAGTTGGCACGCGTTTGTCTGATATAAGCGGGCAGTCAGGCGATAGAAAAACTGAAGCAGAAAAAGTGGTATACACGTGATCGATGCATCGGCTGGGCGGAGACAGAGTCGCGATGTTACTTTCTACGATACTTTCTAGCAAGAGATGTGGGCCGGAGCCGGCGCAACTAGAGCGATCGGTTTCTCCGCGCGCCGGGAAAATCGGATTGAAATAGAAATCGCATCGCGGAGAAAATCGCCATTTTCACGTCACTACACACGCCAGCGTGGAAACTTGGTAGATTAAATACATTTCAATTAGTACAGCAGTTACATAGTGGACTTTAATTTGACAGGAATGGTGCAGAATCGTAAAATATCAGCGGCGAGCATTAGTTAGGAAGCAGCGCATGTTTCCTTTGGTCTGTGTGACGTGATCTATATTTGAGGGGAATCAGGAAACGACCGGCTGATGCTGGGAGTGATCTTCAGCGAGGGCGGACGTGTCGGGCGGACGCACGTGGAAGTGTTTACATCCGTCGAGACTCGAACAGTGCCCACTGCCGAGTGCACGCCATCCGGTGTTTTAGCTGCATGCTCGAAAATGTCTACTGTAATTTTTTGTCATCCCAACGACTGAATTACAAGTATACAATTATTTTGCGAGAAAATAACTCACTTATATGACTTCCTTATTGCACAGACAGTCGGACAATTTTCAGATAACCTTGAATGAAAAATCGATTTTGAAACAAGGTGTTTGTACCTAAACATTGTTGGAAAAACAGTGTCCAAATAGGTACTCATGCAGGTTTCGACATCACCCAAACCGTAAATTAGAAAGTGGCGGCCGGTTATCACATCGGGGCTCATACTACGTGGCTGAGGTGAATGTAATGGATACGCCACAACTCCCCAACAATCATTTGTTGACATATCGGGCCCTCTTACTTCCCCACACCATACGTAATAGATAAAACTAGGTTTTTTGTCTCTGTCTACTCCCCAATTTAGTTGCGCGCACCCACGCTCCGGCGCGCCTTCTCGAGTAAACATGGGAATGGTAAATAGAAAAGGGAGAGAGATATAATTAGAATAAATGCTGCATACTTTCTGAACTTTACTTAAACAACTCCAAATATCTTTGTGATTTGATTGTTGGAATATAGAATTTTGAACTTGTACAGTCAGATTGAGCACCGTATCTATTATCTACCGAAATACTATTATAATTAAATAACAGTAAAAAAAAAACAATTAACTGACCACATGTACGAATCAAAAACAAACAAAGAAAAGGAAATTTAACAAATAGGAATTTAATGAGTTTGTAGTTTGTATTGCTGTCCTATCGTAAAACTGTAATTTCAACTGCATTTGCAGTAGCTATCTACCATGTGATGATAGTGGGTTAATATCGAATATCTATGCTTATAACGCTAACAAAAAACAGTGTCAGTTTTTACTGAGTAAAGAACTGTTTTGTGACGCATTAGGGCCATCGTGCAACGGACCGTGACTCGGTATCACTGCCCTTGCCCTGTGCCCGCGCAGCCCACGACCTCGTGGCCATAAAACATAACCGCTGACATCAACACTGTCAACTATAATCCATTCAGTAACATCAACTATTAACTTTAAATCATTATCGAAATATATACGCCATTTACCTCAAAAAATAATTTAATTATTAACCTTATTTACCTCGGAAAGTGGGCCAAGGTACGATAAACGACTGTGACGTCGCTTCGCCTACATAATAGTCGCCTAAGGGCTAAATTAAAAGGACGCAGTTTACCAATTAGGTCAACGACACTTTGCTCTTCAAACTGATAACTTATCTAACATAAATCGCTCTATTTTTGTACATAAATCTCAGATTTCAAAAAATAATAGAACGTTAAATTATATGCAACATTAAAATCTTCCATCGATGCTGTGGTTGTCTGTTTATTACTACCTAGGTATATCATTTCAATAACATTCTGTATGTAGGTCATTAACACTGAATTTCTGAGAAAATGGCGAACGTAAACGAGGAAAATAAAGTGACGGCATCACAATGTAGGTCGAGTAGCGCTCATCGAGGAATATCGAGGCTGAAATAACAAAATGTTTGTCCCAGTTAAGTAACCGACGCTAGTGGCACATTCACGTTTCATTGCTACGTTTATTTTGGGCAATATTCTCCACTACTAAAATAACTCATTAATTAAATTATGGTATCGCTCGCCGTCAAAGATAAGGCTTTATCCAC